GGCTCTCTGGACAGCTCCCACGGCCGGCGGTCGGCCAGTCCAGGGTCAGAGGATGACCAGGACAAACCCCGTCATCCGCAGAGAGAGTGACTCGGCCCGGACAAGATCCGAGGAAACAGCAAGACCGACGGGACTCCTGCAGAGCAACCCCGGACCCAGACCACAGAATCCCGGTAGGCGTTGGGGAATGGCAGGGGTGCTCTGGGGGCTGGGGGAAGGGAGGAAGCAGCCCGGGGCGGGGAGGGGGCCTTCTGGCGACCGTGGGCAGACGTGTTACGGGAGGAAACAGCCCCCCTCTGCTGTGCAGGGGCGACAGCGAGCCCCTGCACTTAGGGCCCCAGGCTGGGACCAGGAGAGAGGGTGGTTCCAGGTCCCCCTCCCAATCCTCTTGAGTACCCAACCCCTTCCCGAACTGAAATGCACGCAAACGGGCGAGCAGAGGCGGGGGGGGGACGGCAGGGCCAGCCAGGTTATCGCCTCTCTGAGGGGCCAGACTCGGGCGCAAGCCTTCCCCGCTAAGCCGGGGTATAGACCCGGGGTCCACTGAACCCCCCTCTTCTGCCCTGCAGGGAGGGTGTGATCGCACCCAACTTACGGCACCCACGACCGAGAATCCCGGGCAGGGGCCCAGTTAGAGGATGAAGGGGTTCGCTGAGTCCCCCTGCCCTCCCGGTAGGGGGTGATCGCACCCCACCACTCGTCCACAACCACCTTTCCCTAGCATGCTTATGAGGATGTCATGCGGATCATGTGAAAAGCCTTTCTAACATCAAGATAGATCACATCTGTCAAGAGTTACAAAGGGATCTCACAAAACTGGGTGAAAGGAAAACAAAATGGCAGATGAAATTCAAGGCTGGTAAATGCAAAGTACAGCACATTGGAAAACATAATGCCAACTATACATACAGAATGCTAGGATCTAAATTAGCTGTTAACATTCAGAAAAGAGTTTTTGGAGTCATTGGGGAGCGTTCTCTGAAAACATCCACTCAGTATGCAGCAGCAGTCGAAAAAGCTAATAGAATGTTGACTATTAGGAAAGGAACAGATAATACAGAAAATATAATCTTGCCTCTATATAAATCCATGGTATGCCCACATCTTGCATATTGTGTGCAGATTGTGTGCTCCATCTCAAAAAAGACATCTTGGATTTTGAAAAAGTACAAAGAAGGGCAACAAAAATGATTAAGGGTACAGAACAGTGTCCTTATGAGGATAGCTTAAAAAGACTGGGACTTTTCAGCTTGAAAAAGAAACAATTAAAAAGGGATATGATAAAGGTCTATAAAGTCACAAACAGTGTGGAGAAAGAAATGTGTTATTTACCCCTTTTTATATCACAAGAGCCAGGGGTCAACTAATGAAATTAATTGGCAGTAGGTTTAAAACAAATATAAGGAAATGCTTCTTCATACAATGCACAGGCAACCTGTGGAACTCCTTGCCAAAGGATATTGTGAAGGCCAAAACTAAAATGAGGTTCAAAAAAGAATGAGATAAGTTCCTGGAGGTTAAGTCCATCAATGGCTATTAGCCAAGGTAGTCAAGAGTACAACGCCATGCCCTAGCCTCTCACTGCCAGAAGCTGGGATTGGATCACTCAGTAACTACCCTGTTCTGGTCATTCCCTCTGAAGCACTGGGCACTGACCACTGTTGCAAGACAAGATACTGAGCTAGATGCTCCCTTCCATCCACTAGGCCAGTAACTATCAAAGAAGGAAATTCGGTTGGTATGACATGACATGTTCTTGACAAATCCACATTGGCTATTAATTATTACATTTTGACATGCTTCCCTGGGTCTGTGCCCAACTCACCTCCTTTGGGCACTGGAAAACCATCCTTCTGCAAAGCAAACAAGAAGAAGGCGCATTAATGTCTCCAGACATGTCACCTTGGCTATCAGGTCTGGGTCACTCTTGGGGGGAGCGAATGCAAGAGTGTACGGGCTCAGGTGCTGGGCTGTCCCTCCTGATACACAAATGACACTGCTGCATGGGGCATCTTGAAATTGTCCCAAATTTTATAGTGTTCTAGCAGCTGTGTGAGCTCCAGAGGCCAGCCCCAGCTCCTGCCTGGCTCCCATCCGCAGGGGTTATTCCCAGTCACTGTGTGAGCTGTGGCTCGCAGGACTCAGGAGGAGCAGAGGGCAACCACGCCATTGGCTGGAGAGGAGGGTGCAAACAGAAACCCCCAGGTCTCTCTGGCTGGCAACGTGGCCCCCCCACTGCTCTTCCTGAGTCCTCTGACAGAAGCTCACAGTGCTCACTGCTGCCCACGCCTCCTGCCTACTCCCCTGAGGCTGCAGGTGAGCCTCCCTGCCCCGCCGTGCTCTTGCACCCCACAGCTTCTGCCCCAGCAGCTTCCCAGCCCCTCTTCCCCACCCATCCCCACCGCCAAGGGGGAGAGGCATGTGCTGAGCTGAGTAGGGCACCAGCATTGCTAGGAACAGCCCTGCTCCAGTGATTCATTGCAAGAGACGAGATGCTGAATGTGACCAAGGGATCAGCCTTGCTGCATACGGGAACCTCCAGAGCTAAAGCTGGGTGGGATCGGTGTGGCAAAAGGGCTGGGTGACAGCAAAGCCAGTGTGGGAACAAAGGTCTAGAATTCATGGGGTGAATTTGGCAGGAAGTTGGAATCCGCCCGGCTCTGGCCATTTTAAGCTCACTTGCCGGAGGAGCAAGGCCGAGGCTTCCAGAGACGCTCGGAAGTGGCTGTGAGTTTCTTGTGCTAGCTACACTCAGTGGACGGAGCCACACACCTGCTTTCTTCCAGTACTTGAAGTAGAATACCAGAGCCGCAGTGACACCCACGCACAGGAAGGAGACAGGCACAGCCACAGCCACCTGGGAACTGGGGCCCTCTGGAGAAGACAAAGGGAACATGCCCAGATAAACACCGCGCTCCTGGAGAAGAGACTTCCCAACAGAAACCAACTGAGCCTGTTGAACCAGGGCCTCACACAGGGAGCCAGGGCATTTGAGTTCTCTTCGGTTCTGCCCCGATTCACTGTGCAGCTGTAGGTCTGTGCCTCAGTTTCCCCATCTGTACAATTCATATATTTCAAGGCCACATGGGGCCCTGTGACCATCCAGCCTGACCTCCTGTACAGCACAGGCCCTAGAACCTCCCCCAAATAACTCCCCTTTCAACTAGCACATAGGACCAATGACTTGATCTGCTCTTTGGGATCTAGCGATGGGGAGTTCGGTTCTGGGCATTATTGCAAGGCTCATCTGTGAGAACAGGGCCACCCCCAGCAACCAGAGCCCTTCCATGGCTGAGGGAGGACTGAAGTGCAGGAGGCTCAGATTTGAATCTCAGCATCCAAGCCTGCCTCTGTGGCTTTCGTTCTGAGTCAGATCCAAACCCAGCTTCCGTTCCAGCATGGCCGGAATCTCAGGGGAACAGCTGATCATGTGAGTGTTCTGCCGCACGGTGCACCAGCCCAGCCCATCAGGTTTTGGCCACTACCTTGGCTGACACACCGGGACCAGGCACTTCCAGAGCTGAGAGCAGGAACTGCTACAGGTTGATCCAAGTCTCCCTTGCAAGGGCTGTACCAAGCCCAGATCCTCTGCAGATCAAGCCCAAGAGGGACACAGCACACGCTGGCCAGGGAGTTACACAAGGACATCAGCCTTGCTAGGGTCTGGAATCTGAATTATGAACTTGAACCAGACCTGAGCCTAGATCCCAGCTGGGCCTCTCCCTCCCCTGTCCCTGAGCCCAGCCCTGTGAGTACCTATCACGGCAATGGCCAGGATCTTGCTGTGGGCCTGGAAGACTTGCTGGGGGCTGAGTTGGTTGCTGGCAATGCACTGGTAATTCCCTCCATGGCCCAGCTGCACCGACCTGAAATACAGCATGTTCCCCACAGCTGTGGGTGGGCTGAGCCCCGAGGCTGCAGCCAGGTCCTCGCTGTTGTGGAGCCACTTGAACAAGGGGGCGGTGCCAGACTCCACCGAGCAGCTGAGATTCATGCTTTCTCCAGCCATGACCTCTAGCCCCGTGGGATCTGCAGTGATGGTGGCCCCAGACACGGGCACTGCAAGCACAAAGAAGACAGCCAGGATTCCCTCTCATTTTTTCAATCCGTGTACAGAATAAATTTTGTTACATGCACCAAGACGTGTGCAGATGGGCACCACCAATAGAAACACATGCTGCCAGCTGTGGGTGTTCTGCCAATCACCTGGGCAGCACTGGAATCTCTCTTGAGCACACAGCTTACAGGGAACAGTGGAGGCAGCCTGAGACCAGAGCCAAGGCTGGAGTTATGTTCCACCACTGACACACCAGAGGGGGGTAAGTCAGGCTGGGCAAAGCAGCAGAGAACAGGCTCTGGAGGCAGCAGCGTCTGGACCTCCTGCGCCCGAGGGGGCTGCCTTCCCACGATGGGGGTTGGAAGGCAGAACCACTCAGCCCAACAAGCATCCATCCTGCCCGTCACACTAGGGACAGAGCCCTGAGGAGCCCCTACAGATCTGAGGCAGGACGCCAGCATGTCCCCACAGTCACCACCACTGCTCGTCCCATCATCACTCTGGTCAGCAGGCAGAGACCTTGAGCCCAACCCCCAGAGATAGCGCACGGAGCTGGCGTACCGAGCACGGAGAGGCGGAAGGGGGCACTGCGCTGGGAGCCGTGGGCCATGCCATTGTCAGCCTCGCAGAAGTAGGTCCCAGTATCCTGCTCAGACGTCACTTTCAGGGCAAGGGATCCTGGCCCTCGGGAGCTGACCGTCCGGTTCCCCAGAGCATCCCCCTCATGATGAAACCGATAGAGGATGGGGGCGGAGCCGCGGGACGACTCGCACCAGATCTCCACCACGTCCCCAACGGTGGCCCAGGCGTCGGCCACGCTAATGGTCAGGAGAGGGGGGGACACTGGAACTGACAGAGAATCGGGGCAGGTCAGGGCTCAGCTTCTACTCCAGGGAGCTGCGAAGAGGGGTGGGGAAGTCACTAGGCCTGAGAGCAGAATGGGCAACAGCATCTCTGGCCTTGTGTCTGCAGCACCCAGTACCAGGGCAGGGGGGTCTCTGATTGGAATCCTTGTCACTGCCCAGTGCAGATACCAGGACAGTCAAAGGGAAGGGTCGTTATGTTCTAAGGACCTGGCATTTGCCCCTTGTGTCCCTGGGGCACTAGGCTGCTCTGAGGCCCATCTGCAATCCCACTGGGGACAGGCGGACCCCACACCCACCAACAGGGCCAATCAGAGGGGGGGCCCAGGAGGGCTATTTGGCCTGGGCCTCAAGCTCAAAGGGGGCCTCCAATTTAGACACGTGTTCATTTTTTGGCATGAGGTAAGTTTCACAACTGTTTTTTATGCCCATCCGTACAGGGCCAAAGCGTGACAGCGTAGAGCTGCACTCTGAAGCAAACCAGAGATGTGATTTGGCAAAAGCCACAACTGTTTTGTTAATGGACACAGATTTTGTCACATAGGAGAGTTTAAAATGGTCATACATATTAATGAAAATCTATCCGGGTCTGATGGCACAAGATTAGACCGTGATGAATGTGGCCTCTCAGATCGGCGGATTATATAAACTAACCACTCGTAATGGCTGGATCAGTGTTGTTGTTTTTTATTTTGATTATTATAGCTCGGGGGCCTCAAAAGCTGGAAGTGGTGGAGGCCTCTGGATTGCCGAGACGGTCTGCCCACCATCTTGGCACTCTGGCTCCCCCTAGTGGGAGCTGTGCCATGGCTGTAGAGCTCAGGCAGGAGAGGCTCACGCATTCAGAGCCCGACCCAGGTTCAATCCCACTCAGTGCCGGACCGAGCCATACTTGCGCCCCGGCAGCGAGCATGAGGCGCATGTGCAGCCCCGCCCCCGGGCGCACGGCGCCCCTTGCCACTTCAGTCAGGCACCCGCCATAGGTTGGCACCCCGGGCAGCTGCCTGGCTAGCCCCCCCCTTAATCCGACCCTGATCCCGTTTGCCAACAATCCGCCTGAGGGTGCAGTGTAACAGCCCCCCGTTCTGCAGAGAGGGACGGCAGAGGGACCCCATGGGGTGTGTGCGATGGGCTCCTCAACCCTGGTGGGGGGGGGGTTGACAAAAACATTTCAACCAGCTCCATTCGCAGCCCCACCATGGGGTGCATCCCTGCCTGGAGCTGCCAGCAGTTATAGCCGCGGCCCTGTGGCTGAGCTTATAGCCAGGCAGAGTCTCTCATGCCCACCTGGGCAGGTTTAAAGCCCTGGCACTAGGAAATTATTTCGAAATAACTAAATTTGACTGATTAAGTCCCGATTTTACAGAATTTAAATAGCATGTTCCCATTATGTGGACACCTGGACATTAGTACGAGGCAGGCTCCATTAATGTGGATGCACTACTTTGACGTAGAGCCCCGGGAGGCACTGGGAAGTAATTAGTTTGAATTACTCTGGGAAGTTGTTATTTCGAAATAGCGGTACTGGGGTGTCCACACTATCGTTATTTCAAAACAACTATTTTGAAATTAGCGCTATTCCCTGAGGAAAGCAGGAGTACGGATTTCAAAATAATCAGGCTTGGTACTGTGGACTCTCCGCTTATAAATTCGGCCTAAGGGGTGTGAAAGTAGAAAGAATTATAATGTAAGACAGTGGTCCCCAACCCGGTGCCCGCGGGCGCCATCGCGCCCGCCGGGGCATTTATTTCAAAACAACTATTTTGAAATTAGCGCTATTCCCTGAGGAAAGCAGGAGTACGGATTTCAAAATAATCAGGCTTGGTACTGTGGACTCTCCGCTTATAAATTCGGCCTAAGGGGTGTGAAAGTAGAAAGAATTATAATGTAAGACAGTGGTCCCCAACCCGGTGCCCGCGGGCGCCATCGCGCCCGCCGGGGCATTTGTGTGCGGCCCCC